GGATCTGTGTTCTGGAGCTCAGGGGAGAGGTCGGGGACATGCACAAGGGCAGACGTGGCGTTTGTCACAGTGACTATGGTGAGATCATCCCGGGGGAGAACAGCCTTCCTCAGTTAGATGTGGGGGAAAGAGGGGGAATCAGCAGAGTTGAGAGGAGGTGACCGGAGACTGGAGGACCAGGCTAGTGAGTTCCCCGTCGTGGTCAGAGCTCATGGCTGACGGGGACTGTGGCCTGCTGGTGCCCAGCAGCTCAGGAGGGCACCGCTCTGCGCACCTCCAGTCCAGGACCAGGAGACGCGTGCTGCTTTCCACCGTCACAAAGTTGGGAAATTCTGCCCTTCACACGAGAGACCTGGAAAGGCTGTGGATTTAAAGTTGATTTATGTGGTACTTATGCCATCGATAGGATTGGAATTGGGTACCGAGTTCTGCCAGATTGTCTCCACAGCTACCCGAGGGGGGGACTGCTGGGTGTGGCAGACATGGGAGCTCTCTGGCTCTTTCACCAGGACTTAAACCAACAACCCAAACGCTGAGCTTGCTCTTTCTGGGCGGACGCCCTCTTCTACGCAGTCGGCCTACCCCTGTCCTGTGTCCTTGTTCTCCTGTGGGACTCAGTTGCCGCAGCCATGGGTTATGAAAAGCCTTCACCGGCCTCTGCGTCCCAAGCTGCCACAGTGGGCAAGTAAATCACTCCCTGCCGCAGCTACCTGTCTCCTTCTTTCAAGTGAAAACGAAGCCATCCTGGTCAGACACCACACCAAAGTCAGAGTAGACGTGCAATCCCAGAGGACCCAGGGCAGCCAAAGGAAAGGCGTCTCCACCATGGAGCCGTGCTCATGTGGTCAGCCTGTCCAGACCAAGATGAGCAGTCAGCCAGAAAGCCAGGCCTTCCCAACTCAGCTGCTGTGTGTGCGGAAGAGATGAATTTCAAGCCATATCCCACCATGCACCGAAACTATTTCAGGATGGGTCACAGGCCTAAATATTAGAGCTACAGTGAAAAGCTGCTAGAAGTAAACAGCTCACTGTCTCCTCAATACTGAAACAGGCAAAAACTTCCTAAACAGGATTCAGCCCATACCAGCCAGGAAAGAAGAAATTGATTAAATGGACTTAATAAAAATCAAATTTTTATGCTCATTACGTGACCCCAGTAAGAAAATGAACCAGCAAGACACAGCCAAGGAGGAAACGTTTGCACACTTCTGACAAGGGATTCACACACTCCGTAGGTACCAACTCCTGGGACCCAATAATCTAAAGACAAACAAGTGTCTGTTCAGCTCCTGGCCCACTTATTGATTGGGTCACCTGTTTTTTGGGTGTTAAGTTTTTTGAGGGTTTATATGTCCCGAAGATGAGTGCTCTATCTGACGTGCATGTGGCAAAAATTTCCTCCCAAAATATAGGGTCTTTCTTCACTTCATTAATTGTTTTTTGTTTGTTTGTTTGTTTTGTTGAGGAGAAGATTTTAGTCTGAATCCATCTCATTTGTTGATTCTTGATTTTATTTCTTGCGCTTTAGGAGTCTTGTTAAGGAAGTTGGGGCCTAATCCGACATGATGGAGATTTGGGCCTACTTTTTCCTCTATTAGGTGCAGGTCTTCAGTCTAACTTCTAGGTTCTTGATCCACTTTGAGTTTTGTGCAGGATGAGAAATAGAGGTTTAGTATCATTTTGCTGCATAAGTAGTTCCAGTTTTCCCAGCACCATTTGTTGAAGAGGCTCTCTTTTCTCCAATGTATGTTTTTGGCACCTTTGTCTACTATGAGATAACTGTATTTGTGTGGGTTTGTCTCTGTGTCCTCTATTCTGTGCCACTGGTCTTCATGTCTGTTTGGTGCCAATACCATGCCATTTTGGTTACTATACCTCTGTCGTATAATCTAAGATCTGGTATTGTCGTGCCTCCTGCTTCACTTTTCTTGCTGAGGATTTCTTTAGCTATTCTGGGCCTCTTATTTTTCCAAATGAATTTCATGATTGCTTTTTCTATTTCTGTGAAGAATGTCATTGGAACCTTGATGGGAATTGCATTAAACCTGTATTGTGCTTTCGCTTGAATGGCCATTTTGACAATATTAATTTTGCCTATCCAAGAGCAGGAGAGACCTTTCCATCTTCTAAGGCTTCTTCAATTTCTTCCTTTAGTTTTCTATAGTTTTCATTGTAGGGGTCTTTTACCTCTTTTGTTAAATTGATTCCCAAATATTTTATTTTCTTTGAGGCTGTTGTGAATTGGGTAGTTTTCCTATTTTCTCTTACAGTTGATTCATCACTGTTGTATAAGAATGTGATTGCTTTATGGATGTTGATTTTATATCCTGCTACTTTGCTGAATTCATTTAAGAGTTCCAGAAGGTTCCTGGTAGAGTTTTTCTGGGTCTTCTAAATATAGGATCATGCCATCAGCAAATAGGGATAGTTTGAGTTCTTCTTCTCCTGTTTGTATCCCTTTAATTTCTTCATTCTGTCTAACTGCTCTGGCTAGAGTTTCCAGGACTCTGTTGAATAGAAGTGGTGAAAGAGGACATCTCTGACTTTTTCAGTTTTTAGCAGGAATGTTTTCAGTTTTTCTCCATTTAGAATGATGCTGGCCTTGGACTTAATGTGTACAGCTTTTACAATGTTGAGGTTTGTAACTACTACCCCTAGTTTTTCTAGTGTTTTGAACACGAATGGATGATGTATTTTGGCACATGCTTTTTCTCTGTCTATTGAGATAATCATGAGATTGTTGTCTGTATGTCCATTGATGTGATGAATTACGGTTATTGGTTTCCATGTGTTAAACCAACCTTGCATCCCTGGGATGAACCCCACTTAATCGTGGTGCACTGTCCTTTAAATATGTTTCTGTGTGTGGTTTGCCAGGATTTTGTTAAGACATTTTGCATCTGTGTTCATCGGGGATATTGGTCTGAAATTTTCTTTCCTTGATGTGTCTTTGTCTGGTTTTGGTATCAGGGTGATAATAACTGCATAGAATGAGTTTGGAAGGGCACCTCCTTTTCTATTTGTGGAATAACTTGAGGAGGACTGGAGCTGGCTCTCCTGGGAAGGTCTGTAGAATCAGCTGGGAGCCGTCTGGTCCTGGGCTTCCTGGGTGGGCCTGTGATGGCGGCTTGGGCTTCCCTCCAGCCTGGCTTTCTGTCCTCAGAGTGTGTGTGCACGAGCAAGGAGGGTTTCCCTTTTCCTTTTTTCTTTCTTCTTTGCTGTCCACAGCTCAAGGAATTCCACTGAAGGCAAAGTCACGTAACCACCCTCACATTGCTTTAAAACAGAGCTCTTTCCCTTCTCCTCATAAATATGTTGGGTTGCCGCAGAGAAGAATGCCACCTATCATGTCGGGCCTGGTGGGAAGAATCAAGCTTGTGGATGACTGTCCCAAGGAAGGACAGCGCACCCCTCGTCCAGGTGGTACCAAGTGTCCCCTGGGCCCTGAACCGGCTCTGTCAGCTGAGAGCCGGGGCAGCCCTCTCGTGCTCAGTTCTGGCCTCCCGTGGCCTCTGTGACTTCAGGTCAAGTTCCCAAGGCTTGCCAGCCAAGGGCCCTTGGCTGTCACCACCCCTGACCGTGTGTGTCTTTCCACCCCGTCCCCAGGACACTTGTGCCTCAGTGACTTTCTGTCCTGGACTTCAGCATGTTGCTCCTGATCTCTGAGAGTCAAAGCAGCCTCTTCTGGGGTTCAGGACCAGTGACGGCTGTGGAAGCAAAAGCTGTGAATAAGTCCAAGGAAACTGACAGGAACCAAATTGGTCCATCTCAGGCAAAGCTGGAAATGAAGGGGGAGAGGAGTGAGGGCGCCTGATGAGCTGTCTACCCCGGGCTGTCTGTGCAGATGCAAGATGAAGGCAGCAGGAAGGATGCTTCCGGTGGAGAGGAAAGATGGGGCTTTGGGCCCCCAGGGCCCTGGCTTGCTGCTCCCTGCAGACAGGGGCTCCAGCCCAGCCCTCGGTGGGACTCAGCCTCCTCCCAAGGTCCAGGTGAGCTCTGGGCTGCTGGGCTATGTCTCGGGTCCTCCCTGGGCAGGCATGTGATGAGCTCAGGCAGAGCGAGTCAGCTGAGCATCTCCTCTCCCATCTGTGCCCACCCTGAGCCTTATTTCACACACTGAGAAGGACATTGGGGTTTGGTGACAAGACAGTGTTTAATCATCAGGATAACAGGAGCATCACAAAGCACAGGAGCACGAGGACCCAGGGGGAGAGAAGCAAGCTGTACCCAGAGTCTGGCTGGTACACATAAGGTCTCCCTGCCTTCTTTGTCATCCTCTTGATCCACAGAAGGTAATTGGACACCTTTGTGTACACCCCAGGGATGTCCTTTTTGCCGCAGTTCACACCCCAGCTGACGATGCCCAGCTGGTACCATTTGGTTGTGTTGTTCTTTTTGTGGCAAATCAGAGGGCCCCCACTGTCACCCTAGGAGAGAAAAGTTGTTTGGGAGTGGAGGGGACAGTAGCAAGTCACTCCTACAACCTACCGACGAGCAGGCAGCTCGCATAGGTCAAAAACCCTGGACTTGGGGCTCTTTTGATGGAAACTGTGGAGGCTGCTTCTGCTCTCCAGATGCGGACTGTGGGAGAGGTGCACAGGGTTTGTCAGCAGCCTCGTGATGAATGAACGGCCGCGTGGTCAAAAGGGATCCCACCCTCGTCACAGACTCAAGCCTTAGCTCTGATGTGCCAAGAAGTGGATCTCCACTCCATGTTGCCTTTAGCACTTTCATTTTGTAAAGAATTCCCCAACTCTCTCCCTGCCTTTTCACCTCAAATCCATTTTCTGCTGGCCCATTTTCCTCTTTCACAAACAGAAAAAGAAAAAAAAACAAGAATCCATTTTGCCTTTTAATAGGCCATGGGTTGAACACATTAGATATACAAACTGATACACATAACAAATGAAAAAAGATCCATATTATGTCAAAGTGTCATGTTATGGCTCAAAGCATTAAATTTTAAACAACTTACAAATTTTAGAGCATCGTAGAAAAGATTTTCAAGTTAGCACAAGTAAGCAGAGCAGACATAAGGGTCATGAAAATGGAAGAATATGGTAATTTCCCTTCTTCCACACCTTTCAGACCATTAAAAAAAAAATTCTAGTAAAGAGTCATGCACAATCATCAAGAAAAAATTGGAAAAAATACCCATGATTATATAAAGAAGGAATTTTATGAACACACACACACGATTACGTGTGAAGAGAATGTCTCAGGAACCCACCCCCATGTGGCAGTGTTTGGGAAGGGATGGGGGGGAGGTCAGCTTGCTCTTCACTGCCTGCCCACCTGGGGAACTAGAGCTTTTTTCCCACCATATTTTCAAATAAGTGAAGTCAGTAGTTCCACCCACGTAGAGGTGGCTCCTTGTTAATACCTTTCCAGATCCTTGCTTGCATGTGTACATATATTACTATTGTTTCATAGAAATAGGATCAGGTTGTAGATATGGTTTCAGAGTTTACAAAGCTTCATTTTGAAAATGTCCATGATGCTGAGAAAGTTGATTTTTAAAAAATCCCTCAAGGATGTGTAAAAAATTTGAATCTAAATCCACAGTGAAACCAAAAACCAACCAACAAGATCTGGGTATTTTTCAATTTTTAAAACCAGATTGTGATCACAAACTCTTGTCCTTACTGACTCACTTTGAACAAACTGTTCTTTGCCAAATGCCTTGAAGTCACTGGGAAGTCACACGATCTTTCTTTTTTTTTAAATGAAAAATTAGAATTGCTTCTGTCATCCATGACTTCTATATGAAAGAAGTCAGGCGGATCAGTGGGGCCCTTAGGATTTTACATGTGTGCAGCCAAACAAACTTTGGTTCCAAGCCCAGGGTGAGTACTGAGCTGAGTGAATCTGGAGCCTTCCTTGAGTGCGCTAAGGCTGGGAGGGTGTGCTGAGGACGGAATCTCTCCTGCAGGGGACGAGCATTTGCTCAGGGGAGCTCCCATTCTCCACGTGGCTGTGGGACCAGGCAAGTCTGGGCACGGCCAGGCTGGGTCCCCTGTGAAAGAGACTTCTAACCCCAACGTCAGTGTGCTTTTGTTAGAATTCGGGGTCTGTGATTTATGCTACTGGGCTGTCCTCAACAGAACGTGGCATTTCTTCCATCCTTGGTTTCCTCATCTAAAATGTGCCCATCTCGGGAAACTCCTTCACGTTTCCAGAGGCAGTGTATGTTCTAGTGGGGACGAGCCAGTGTAAGGAAAGAAGTGAGAAAAACCACAGGTATAATTTGCTCTCCTCGCCCAGTGCCTTTGTGCAAATCCTCACAAGGATCCCCAAAGGCAGGCTTTCTTGGTATTCCCATTTTAGAGGCAAGCAGATCAGAAGAGGCACAGAAACTGGGGAGGTCACTTGCCCCGGTCACACAGGTGGTAAGAAGAGGAGCCAGGACGGAAGCCATGTTGTCTGACTTCAGAGCCTGGGCCCTGCTCCTGCCTCACTTTGGTTACCTCACTTTACTTGTTCTTAAAAAGATCTTATGGAGCCTCTGTGCTGGGTGGAAAGGATCCTCCCCCAACTCACATCCACCCAGAGTCTCCGAATCTACCTACTTTGGATATAGGATTGTTGCAGACGTCATTAGTTAAATTAAGACAAGGTCATGCTGAATCAGAGTGGGCCCCAGTGCAATGACCAGTGTCCTGTAAAGAACAGAGGTGTCAGGCACATGGAGAGAAGTCCACATGAAGACAGGCAGAAGTTTGAGTGGGGCATCTACAAGCCAAAGGAACCCCAAGGATGGCCAGGAGCCCAGGAACTGGAAGAGACCAGGAGGGATGGTCCCCGTTGCCTGGGGAGCGGCAGAGTCCAGCTGGTGTCTGGGTTCCAGGCCTCTGGCTCCAGAACTAGGAGAGGATCATTTCTGTGGTTTCAAGCCACTCAGCTTGTGACGATCTGTCAGGGCAGCCCTGGGAAACAACAGTGGCCTCTCCCGGGGAGGAGGGAAAGGGAGCCACTCACCCTGTCTCCAGCAGGCACACAGCCCATTACCTGGCAGGCGTCTCCGTGAGAACCGTTAGCACACATCATGTTCCTGGTGAGTACAGGGAAGACATAGAAGCACCTGTCCCATGTGAGCAGGTCGAGGTGGACTTGGTGCAGCACTGAAGGTAAAAACTTGACAGAACCTGACCCAGAGGAGAAGCACATGGAGAAAGACCTGAGCCGGAAGGGGTTCCGTCAGCTGGAGGCAAGCACCACCCAAGTGGTGTCTTTTCTCTTCAGTGACAAGGGAACTTCCCTATAGCCCAAAGAACAGTCAAGATTGGGACTGTGGAGGGGGAGAGGGAGGGAGGGTGCTTAGAAGGTTCTTGAGCCCTCCCACACAAGGATCTGGAGCTCTCCGGGACTGGATCCCTGCTCGCTCTCAGCCAGCCTGCAGAAGGTGCCAGGCTCCCACGGGAACAAACCGGAGTCCAGGATGGCAAGCCCATGCCAGGGCCCAGGACACGTGGACAGGCTTGAGCCATGCCGGGCCCTCACAGTGTTCCCTAGGCAGGAGGTGAACCCACACCTGGGCTTTCTTCCCTCCCAGACGGGGGTGCTTTCTGTTCTGCATGCTGCTGCATCCCCACTGCCTACAACACGGCCCACCACAGGGCCATGGGTGCACTGGAGGAAGGTTGGGAAATTCTATCCTGAGAAGGTGGCCATTTTTTGAAGCTCATGATAAGGGCATGTCCCAACAAGCTCTGAGCTTTAGGATCACACTAGAATATAGGTCCAGCCATTTGTGTGCCTACTTGAAAGAGTGGTGCTGCCTGCCATGTGTGGATTCCATGCTGTGGATTATGGGCGTATCTACCATTTACCGAGAGCGAGGATGAAAGGGGCCGTTTTGCAAGTTGACTGGGGAGAGGCCCACGTGGGGCCAATGCTGAAGGGCGTTTTATATCCGGCCAATGCCCTGCGTCTGACCGGGTCCTATGGTGTTCAAAGAGTCCTTTGTCACAGGACAGCAGAGCCAATCCATCATGGCTACAAAATTGTTGTGACTGGCAGTGGTGTGGAGGCTACCCCTTGGCCCCTCCGTAAGTCCCTCAGCATTCCTCTAAGTCCCACCTTGGACTTGGGTTGTCCCTGAGCTCCTCTGAAGGACTCAGGTTCCACCATGAGGCATTCAGCTTGCTACAGGAGCCCAGAAAGGGCTCACCATGGGCCTTCAAGGAAATCTAAAGGTCCCAGATCTACCAGAGAGAATGTCCAGGGCCAGCAGGGCCTCTGGAGTTCCCATCCCAGACACCAGCAGCTGGCTCTGAGTAACTCACTGGCGTTGGTAGTGCCCCATCCAGCCACCAAGCAGCTGCTCCATGCCTTTAGGTCCGTGACATCCGAAAGGCAAATGGGTACACTTTCGACACTGAAGTTCAGTGGGGATGTGAGCAAGAGCAAAGCTATGTCATTATCCATGATCCAGGAATCGAAATAAGGGTGAGTGATGATCTTATCCACTGTCATCATCGTCACGTTCTTGCTACTTAAGTCATCTGCGCCGTGTACAATTGTCCACTCGGTGCTTTCAAGAAAAGAAGGAGGAAAAGCAGTAAGTGATGGAGGGCAAAAGACCAAATTTTATATAAAATAATCCCGCCAGTCTGTGGCTGTGGTGTAAGGAGTGGGAATGGAGGCATCGGGGCCGTGCAGGTGCCACAAAGCCAAGAAAGAAGGCCGAGCAGGCAGCAGGAGCAGATCCGGGCTCTAGGCCTGTGCTCTGCTGCCCAGCTCTTGGCCTTGAGCAAACTCACTAGTACATGTCATCAACCGATAGCTGCTCAGGTCACCGAGGGCTTGGCCTTGGCTTGCAAGAAGCCCAGGACAGGCTAGAGCGCAAGCACCTGTGAAGCTGCTTGAAAATCATGATTCTTGAACTTGGCACAAACAAGAAGCTTCTGATCAGCTGCCAGGGATGGAACTGTGCCTCGGGTCTAATGCCTGCAGGACTCTGTGACCCTGTGGTCATGTCAGCCCATAACCTCTCCTCTCCGAGTGGGAATGATTACTCAGTGAAGCACTTCCTGGAGGTCAGGCCGGAAGGTCAGCAAGATAGAGTCTGAGGAACATTTGTTCTTCAGTTTATGTAACACGCGGGGAGGAGAGCAGCTCACCTAGCACCTGCCTGGGGACACCCAGCCATGCAGGCCTATGTTTGACCTCCTGACACTTTGTTCTGTGGCTGACAAACCTGGCTGAGGTCCTAGGGCACCTGGGGAAAATATTCTACCATGCTGGTTTTTAAAAAAAAGTCTCTGTAGGCGATACTTACGGAGGATGGTGACTGATTTTAATGAAGCAGTGGGAGGCAGTAAGAATCCACCACTCATTGAGAATGGTTCCTCCACAGACATGATGGCCTTGGTTAAGAATACCCACCTGCCAAGGAAAGTCTGCAATGCCTACAGGTTTCCCACCT